AATTCTCGAGATTTATATGAAATGAATAGGCCTCTGCGCGAATCTTGCACATTGAACTTTTTGCCGCTTTCAATGAGTCGTGATTCTGCAACCATGGATATTTTCTGGCATTCAACTGCTCACGTGTTAGGATTAGCTCTTGAAAAAAAATACGGTGATGATATTCTTTTATGTGACGGACCAGCTTTAAAACAAGGGGGCTTCTTTTATGAGTTTCTTTTGGCAGAAAGTGACCAGTTGATAACTGAATACAATAAAAAGAAGTTATATAATAGTTCAATACATGAAGTAATCTCAGGATTAATCAGGTCACCAAAAATTAAAATGCTCCAGGAGAATGATTTATTGGACGTTCTAAATATCATGAAAGAATGCGTCTCAAAAAAGTATCCCTTCGAGAGAATGCTTGTTACAAAAGAAGTTGCGACTGAATTCTTTTCTACCAATCCTTTTAAATTGCATTATATAACACAAGTTCCCGAAAACAAGCTAATATCTCTTTACAGATGCGGTCCGTTCATTGATCTTTGCCGTGGCCCACATATTCCACATACTGGGTTCATTCGTACCATTGAATTACTAAATAGTACGGCCACATATTGGACACCTGATTTAGCATGTGACAAGGATTCACCGCAGTCTATCAATAGAGTTCATGGGATATCATTTCCTAGTAACAAAGACCTTGATGCTTGGAAGAAAAGTCAGGAAGAGGCTCAAAAACGCGATCATCGGTTAATAGCCAAATCCCAACAACTTTATCTGACTCATCATTGGAGTCCAGGTTCTGTGTTTATGCTTCCACATGGAACACGTATATTTCAAAAGTTACAAAACTATATTCGTCTTAAGTACAAAGAATTCGGATTTGAAGAAGTAATGACGCCAATGATCTACAAGAAAGATTTGTGGGAAATGTCAGGACATTGGCAAAATTACCGAAATGAAATGTTTACCGTTCATCACGGTATTGTCCGTGAAAGTTTTGTTGGCAATGTAAGTGCTAAGGATGATATTACAGAAAATAAAGACGAAGTATATGGTTTGAAACCAATGAATTGTCCGGGACACTGTTTGATTTTCAACAGTACACCAAAATCATACCGAGATCTGCCAGTGAGAATTGCAGATTTCGGTTCGTTACACAGGTACCTCTGTATTTCAATAATCACATTTTTATTTTCATGCTGACATTTAGAAACGGCGTAGCCTAATAAATTATAACCTAATACAGAAATGAAATATCTGGCGCTTTAACTGGTCTCACCAGAGTTCGTCAATTCCACCAAGATGATGCCCATATCTTTTGCAGAAAATCTCAAATTTTTGACGAAATTTTAGCCTCGCTATCATTCATTGACAGTGTTTATTGTGATTTTAAATTTCCGAATTATTATTTACAACTATCCACTAGACCTGATAGCCAATACATTGGTAAGATTTCTGAATGGGATGCAGCTGAGGATGCATTGAAGAAAGCTTTAAATGCAGTGGGAAAAAGTTGGACAATGAATCCAGGAGACGCTGCCTTTTATGGACCGAAGATAGATGTCATGATCGAAGACGCTCTTCATCGAATGCATCAAACCGCGACCATACAATTGGATTTTCAACTTCCGCAAAGATTTAGACTAAAATATATTGATGAAAATGGCACAGAACAAACTCCTATAATGATACATCGTGCCATTTTGGGATCTGTCGAGCGAATGATGGCAATCCTTATTGAGCACACGGGTGGAAGATGGCCGTTTTGGCTAAACCCTAGGCAGGCCATCGTTATTCC